AAAATAAGCAAAGTTTGATGAATAAGTCATGCGGACCAATCAAACTTAAGATTTTGCGGACAAATCCCACTCCAAACAGCGTATAAACCATACACTCATTACATTCGTTCCTGGTATTAAATTTTTAACAAAGCCACCCAAGAATGCACCGAATTTTTAGTGAAGTCTCTGGCTCTCGATCCATGCAGTCTTTCGAATCACCTTTGCTGTATATTGTGTTATGGTCGATACACTAATTCCGAATCTGCCTTTTACTATGATGATAAATTTCATTTTTTCGGAGATGATCTTTGGTAAACCGTAAGTCATGTGTCACTAAAATAGAATTTGCATATATAGAATTAATCGAATTGGTAATAGAGAAAGGGTTATGTAATCTAAAGAGAAATGTTAAAAAGACACGCAGCTTCGAAAATTCAATAACCAAATAGAATTATATAATATTCGGGATTAAAATTTTTTTATTATAACAAAGAATTTAACCATTATCGATAGCGATCATTATTTTGTATGTTTCACAGAATGACGGAGTTCTAACGGTTCTAATCCGATTTATTTTTGTAAAACTTTAAGCCTCTAGTTTTGGAAATACAAAGAACAGTTAGTGTAACGATACGTAAAAAAATGTTGCAAAATGAATTCCAGAATTCTTATAGGTAATATTTCCTAATTTTCCCTTGGTGTTCAAAACAAAGCGATATATTTATCAATATAAAAGAAGGTAAGTTTTCATAATATGATTTTTGGCGCCCTTTCGCACGATTAAATCTTCGTAGGTGATTATTATTGCGTATGCATATTTGAGATCATATGAAAATCTAAATAAATGTTTATAACAATTTTAAAGATTTATATAAACGTACGCACAAACGTACGTAAATCGTAAGTTTTCCCTATTTTAATCTACGAATGATTGTATATTAGCTGATAATTAAGATTAACTAATAATTCCGTAAATATTAACTGATAATTTCTCTATAGACCGTCTAGCCTCGATGAGTAATTCTTCTCCATTTTGTTCATTCCATCCTGATGAAAGATACACAACTCGTATCAAAAATATTTTAACTGAATATCCGGATGGATCCCAAATTCTTAGGGAAATTTTACAAAATTCTGATGACGCAAAAAGCACTGTACAAACTTTCATTTTAGATCATAATACTTATCCTACTGAGAAACTATGTGATTCAAGACTTGATAGATATCAAGGTCCTGCGCTTTTGGCCATTAATGATAGTATTTTTCAACCTGATGATTTTAAGTCTTTGCTAAGTCTGGCTAATAGTGAAAAAAGAAATAAATTTGATAAAATTGGAGGTAGATTCTTTTACTTTTAAATGTTGCAAATCTCCAAAATTCAGAAATTCGATATTTAAACTCGATCTTTTGTTCTGTTTGTAATTTTTTTATTCGTTGATATCTAAGTAATGAGACTTATAAACATCTTTGTATAATTGATTCACAAAGACTAGTGTTTGGCAAAAAAGATCGTGATTAATACATTACGAAAATTTTAATGTATTTATGTACATTTTACGTTTAGTGTTTGGAGATTTTTTCTTAGACCTCTGTAATTGATAATATAAAATTAGGAATCTAATCAATAAATTTTTTTAATTTTAGTAATGGGCATCGGATTTAATTCAATTTTTCATATTACTGATGTCTGTTCCATTATTTCTGGGTCATCTTATGTTCTTATCGATCCTCATGCACGTGGTTATTGTAACTTACCACCAGGTCAAAGAGGTTTCAAAGCTGATTTTGTGGAATATGACTTAATCAATAAGGTACGTAAAAACTTGTTCATTTTCGTTATATACAACCATATCTATATTTCTTGTTTACAATTATTGCTAACTGATTTTCTGATCAACTAGTACCCCGATCAATTTATGCCCTTCTCAGTAGCTTCGAACAACTCCCTCGATGGGTTTTATAACGGAACAATGTTTCGATATTCTCTTAGAACGGATGCAGGTGCTGCTGAATCAGAAATTTCTAATAAAGCATATCAAATTAGTCAAATGGAAGAATTATTCAAGACTTTTTATCATGTTGACAATATTACTTGTCTCATATTCTTGAAATATATTGAAAAGATATCGTTCTACGAGCTCAAAAAAGGCTGTACTATTCCTGAACTTTTATATCAAATTGATATTACTAATGCTAAAGAAATTTCAAATAAGAGAAAGTTATTAGCTAATAATATAATGTCCATGATAACTTCTCCCTTAACTTCTGGAACTTTTGAAACTATTTACAAAATGAATTTTTGTCTAAGTTCTGCTCAAAGTAATATTAAAAGTGAATGGCTAATCATCAATTATATTGCTGATGTCAATGATGAACATTATATCAAATTTAAGAATTATGTTCGTGATTGTAAGTTTGTACCAAATGTTGGTTTAGCTGCACGAATAGATGATGTTTCAAAGAATATAGGAAAGCTTTATTGCTTTTTACCTTTACCTGGAAATAAAGATGATTTTTCTGTTTCAATTAATGGTTGTTTTGCCGTCAGTAAAAATAGAAGGCATTTGGAAATTTCTATGGATGATGATATGGTATTCATTATTATTATAATATTTTTACTGTATTGAGCAAATTATTTAACAATTTATTAGCACTTAACAATAATATATTTTTGTTGTTAGGCACCTGGTGATCTATTACGTCTTAAAGGTGCATGGAATAAGTATTTATTTGAAAAGGTTATCCCGATAGCATGGAAAAAACTTTTATCAAAAGCTGCTGAATGTATATCATTTAAACAAATTTACACACTTTGGCCAATACCTCAAGATGGATTTTCTCGAAGATTAGATGAAAAAAGTTGTTTATGGGCCAATCTTTTACAAAATGTTGTCAATCAAATTGATCCTAATCTTTACGTTTTTCGTGGTCATTCAAAATATTTATCAATAAATGATGGATACTTGACTGATAAGAAATTTGGTAAATCAACAATTCTATCGGAAATAATGGCAAAATTGGAGTTTCCTATTTTTGTAAATATCCCAGAATCGATTGTTTATAAATTAGAACAAAATATTTCAAAGCATAAAACAATTTTGAAATATATTTCTCCAGAAATTGTTTGCAAATATATTCCTGACAATATAAATAGGTTAAATGATCTTAATCGTCAAGAAAAATTAATTTTATTGGAATATGCTCTTATGGTTAATGATATTTCTAACCTTTATGGACTTCCTTTGCTTCCAGTTGGAAATCAAACTTTTGTTACTTTTGGTTCTCAAAATTGTAGTAAATTTTATATTAGTAGTAAAAATGAACATACACTTATTAATGATGATCACTTAGGAGTAATCGTTGACATAACAATTGGAGAAAAACTTTTATCAATGTTACAAAATTTTGCAAAAAATAATGCGAATATTAATATTCAAATTCTTTCCGAAGTTGATTTTGCAGAATTAATTAAAAAATCATTGCAAATACATCAAACATATTCGGAAGATTATCAAGGAATGATAATGGAGAAAAATAAAATGCAATTGATTTATAAAATTTGGGATCATTTACAACAAACAAATAGAGATTTACAAAATTTTTCAGACATTTATCTTTTACCAATTGATAATAATGATAATGATAATAATGATGTTATCATTTTAAGGAAATTAAATACAACACCAAAATGTCTACGTCGTACGTCAAGAAATTCAACCTCATTTCTTCGAGATTTAATTCCAACTTTAACATTATTGGGTTCAACCTTTGTGGATTTTGAATTTGATAATAAAATAGATTCAAAATATGAAAGGTATGTCATATAAACTTATTCAAATTTTATGACCATGCATTTCTCCGGCATATGTACCTGAGGTATTCCTCAAGTTCGTCCTTAGTATATACTTAGGTAACTTAGATACGTACGTACTTACGTATGTATCACAAGGTGCAAATGCCGGATAAAATGTGGACTATCCTAACATATGACTGTACTAAAGTATAAATATTATGTTCTAGTCTTAAGAACTATGTAATCGAGATCAATAATGTTACGGCTGTCCTCTTATCTCTCAGAGAAAACCATTCCTTTCCATCAAATATTACTCAAACTATTTTTTCAGATTCTCAAAAAAAGGATTTAACCAGTTATATTAGTGCCTATTTACGTTATGAATCTTCATTTAACCAGAATATAATAGATGTAATCAAGCACATCCCAATATTTAAAGAAATAAATAATGATAATTATTTAAGTATTGATTCATTAGACGCGTCTGGAAGAAGTTATTATTTACTTCCTAGACAAGACGAATTATCATGCGGACTCATTATTTCACCTTGCGCATTTTTGGAAGCTCACACATCTGATGATATTCGTTTTATTCTTGAAAAAGTAATTCAAGTTATAAGATTGGATCAAAAAGAATATTGGAAAGATCATGTTATTTCTTATTTAAGTTCACAAACTCCTGATATTATGGATCAGGTAATCGTAATGCTTTTTGAGAAATGGAACATTATTAAGTCTTTTCTAGATGATCTTTCCAAAATTAAGTTTGTTAAAACTTGTTCTGATAGAAAAAATCCAATCGAACTTTTTGATCCTGATAATGTTCGTATAAAAGTTTTATTTTTTCATGATGAACCATTCTTTCCTATAAAAGATTATCCAACTCAGGATTATCTTTTTAAATTACGTGAATTGGGAATGAAAAAATCAATGACTGGTGCAGATGTTGCTGAACGAATAGAAAAATATAAATCACAAATATGTGACGATGATGATATTCACGATAAATCACTTTTACTTTTAAAATATATTGATGATCATTATGAAAAGTTGAAAGATGACATTTCGTTTCAAGAAAAACTTCAAACAGAAATATGGATTCCAACCTTTAAACCAGAACCAGATAATAATCAACGTATATTCTCAAAAGTTTCAGATTGTCGAGATCAATTACATCAAGAAATAAAATCAAAAATAATAAATTACGTCAGTTTCTTGAATGGGATAAAAATCCACCAACAGAAATTGTAGCACAGCAATTATTACATTTGATAAAGTCAATGAAAGAAACAAGAAAGGAATTTATGCATTCTCTTAGTAGACGAATCAATGCAAATTATGAACATTTAAATAAGATAATTAATGAACCAGGTGATGAAACTCATTTAACCATTTTAAAAGAACAATTATCAAATAAAAAATGGATTGTAAATGGTTTAGATGATTATGATTCCTATTCTACTGAAAAAATAGTATTTTCTCTTCCCAAGTTTATTCCGAATAGTTTTTGGATTCCACTTTCTTGGCACAATATAAGGAATTATTCAACACTTTTTGAAAAACTTGGTGTCAAAAAAACACTTGAAACTCAAGATTATATAAAATTACTTCAAAATGTTGATTTTAAAAATCCAAGAGAAAGGAACAATATAATGTCTATAATTGATGTATTATCATCAAGTGGAGATGATTTAACAGGATTATTAATTCCAAATATGAAATGTGAGATGGTAGATTATAACACCATCTTTTTTGATGATATGGGTCCAAGGGTTAAAAGCTCAATGAAAGATTTTAGTATCTTGGCTCATTCGGAAATTTCAAAAGATCTTGCAAATAGATTACAACTTAAAAATTTAAGCGAAACTTTTTTGAGAAATATGAAGTTTGATTTTGGGCAAAATGAACAAGTTACTACAAGATTGAGAAATATTCTTAGGGTATGTATCTAGTAAAAAATTAATTAAAAAAATTAAAAAAAATTATCTAGTAAAATTAAAAAGAAAAAAAAAAGATTAATTTTGAAATTTTATAATATTATTTGCCTAGGATTATGACCGTAAAGAAATGATCTTTAGAGAATTTCTCCAAAATGCAGATGATGCGCATGCAAATCGATTCTGTATTATTCTTGATGATAGTGAATACTCAACCAATTCTTTATTAAATGAAGAAATGAAATGTTCAAAAAGAAATTCATAAGCAATAAGTACAAGTTCAAAAATAAATGATGCATTATGGTTTTCAAGTAAGATTACTCCTCCGTAGATATATCTTTATTTAAATTAAGTAAAATTTAGGTTTTTATCTCGTAACATCGTAGATGTTATAAATAGTAATATAAAATAACGATAATAATTTCAAATTGTTGTATAGAAATGTTTGTTAAATTAAGTGTTTTAATGTTATTTTTATTTGCTAACTTTCACATGTTTGCGCATATAAAGCAATGTTCAATTTCATGTAATCTCACGAAAAAGTTAGCCTATCGGCAGCGAAAACAATTGGCCTTATATTTATCTTAAAATAACACATATGTGCATTATTTAGAAGATCGGGGTTAGTAAAAAATTAATTGTTATCTCGAAATAACGCCCATGCGCGTACTCTAAATAATGCGCATATACTCAAAATAACGCGCAGATAGGCGTTATTACGCGAAAATATGGTAATATGAATATACACTAAATTTTTTTGGATCTTGATATACTAGTTATCAGTAATACTTAATCAGCCAATCATAGTTGAAGAAGATCATCTGATATAATAGCCAATAAAAAAGAACTTCCTATATGTGCGTTATATATTTAATAATTTTATTATAGTTAGAATCAGGAGAACCTACTTTACAATTTGGGACACTTGAATAAGAGTTAACCCAGTGATGATCACGAATTATCACACTCGATATAATCACATATAATTTTGATTGGTCAAAAAATATAAACAATGTCAGGTGATTCAATTAACGCCTATAACACCAACCCTAACCGGAACCTAATATGAAGCCAAAAATTTAATCCAAAAATACACCACATCACAAAATACGAATTAAAAATAAAATATAAATTCACTACAATAAACACGTGAGGATAAAATCCGATATCTAGTGTAACTGGTAATCGATATTGTTGACATTTTTCGGCCAATCAAAATTATTATGTGATTATATAGAGGGTGATAATTCGTGATCATCACTGGGTTAACTCTTCTTCAATCTACCCTACAATTTTACTTAGAAATATAAACCAGTTTTTTTAATAAAATTTCTTTAATTTAACAAAATAAGTTAATTTGACATCAATTTTATATGTAATTTGTAAATTGTATCCTCTACCCTTAAATTCTTGATACAATACTAATCAATAAATTAAGTGTTTATTTAAATTTTTTCAGAAAACATGCTTTTCTGTAATTGATATATGCGCTTTCTTCATCTTTCTTGACTCCTATGCCTTTATTGTAGCATTGTCCAATTTTATTATATCCTCCACAGTCTTCCATGTTCGCGGATTTTTGATAGTGGATGAAAGCTTTCTTTTCGTCCTTTTCAACTCCGATTCCCAGTTCATAACAATAACCAATATTATTAATTCCACAAACATTCCCCATATCTGCAGATTTTTGATAATAGATGAATGCCTTATATTCATCCTTTTCAACTCCAATTCCATGACGATAACAATATCTAACTCTATTTATTCCAGCCATATTTCCCATTTCCGCGGACTCTTTGTAATATTCAAATGCTTTATCAGTATCAAATATTGAAGCAATACGGCTATAACAATAGCCAACGTTGTATATTCCGTCAGAGTTTCCCATATCTGCGGATTTTTGGTAATATTCAAAAGCCTTTTTATTGTTTTTATCAGTCCATCGACCGTGATAGTAGCACGTGGCGATAATCAAGTACTTCTTATCAGTGTTTGGACTCTTTAGTAGTGATCGAAATACGTGATTTAGATCTTGGTGAGCACACAAGATTTCATCTTCTACTTTGATGAGAATTGATAGAATGTTGTCAGAGGTTTTCGATTTTACGGTATTGTATAGAGCATATAATCTGTCAATGAAGTAGCAGTTGGTACTCATTTTAAGCCGACAAGAGTTTTTAATCTTACAAACTCGTGTTCGTTTAATCTGTTGCTTCATTTTGATATTTGGTAAAAGATAAAAGTATTTAGTAATTGATTGTGAGTTAATTATAAAAATTAATTTAAACTTTGATGATGGATAGAGTCAAAAGAATGTGTATTTATATCTTTTAAGTATCTTTTGAGGACGCACACGCAGAGTCTTTATCGAATTATTAGAAAACTCACTCTGAAACTGATACCTATATTCAGCATCTCATTGAAAAAACATCTAAGACTAAAACTGAATTAACCAATGTAAGAACAAATTTCTTTGTTTACGCATTATCATTATGATTAACCATTTGGATAAAAGGCCGAAATTTCGTGTGTATGTATTTGAAATATATTACTAATACAAATTGTGCCAAAGCGCATAATAAATAGGACAAAAGACCATATATACCAAGACATTTTGTTCTATGTGTTTATACTAAAACATGTACAGTATGAAACAAAAAAGACAATTAAAAATTAGCCATTTGAACAGAAGACATAATTTTGCCTACAAACTGCTTAATATCTTGTACTTAATTTAAGGCGTAAACTTTTTGCATAATCGTTTAAATGATCTTGAAACAAAGATGTATTGAATGAAAAGTTTCCGAGTGGTTAATTTATCACATTAATAATAATACTGCTGAAACAAAGAATTGGTATCTTTACGCGTCATTAAATTATTCTACATTAGGTGTATATGTTGTATACAGCATAGCGGACTTTATTATGATTGGCCGATTTTGTAGATCATCTTATCTTAATAAAGTCTTATTAAAGTAATGATTTTCTGTCACAAGATTGAATTCGGAGCCACGAAAACAAATTCGGAGAAGTAAGACAAAAAAAATTAGAAAGCTTACATCTTACTTTATACACTAGCAAAGTAATTCAGTAATCCACGAAGTAATTCGGAAGTTAGATGAGAGGTATGTTTAGGCATTTCAATTTAACCAATAGGCATATATATAATCTATTAAGGCCGTTCGAAGTTGATATTTCGGATAACATCACTTTCTAGGACTCTCAGGAGGGGGGGAGGGATGAAATGAACATATAAACGAACATATAAAATGAACAGACCATTTTTAAGGTAGCGAATCGATTATGACAAATTAACTTCAAGTTAAAATTTAGTCTAAAGATTCTAGTTGAATTGCTAATCAGGCCAGACCAATGATTGCTTTACATTCTTACAAAAGAGAAAAGCAAGAAAAAGAGAATTATATACCATATTCTTCTGACAATAAGCATCCCTTGTACAATTTTTATAGCAAAAGTCTCATGATTAAGTGATCGGATCTGCACTATTCGAAGCATAAGTATACGATTCGATCACTAGATCATGAGAATTTTGTCTGTAATTTATTTCAAAGGAATATTAAATAGATTTTAATTATATGCAAAACCTGCTATAGATATATAAAATAAGTAAAATTCGATATAGGTAGAGTGAAATCCGCTATCAAAACAAAGTTTTTCTAAAGCTTTAAGTGAAGATACATCGACAACCACCTGACCAAATTCGATGAAAAATATTTTATTTGAATTCTATGTATTTGTAAAATTCAAATAAAAGAATTTTCGTCGAATTTGTCAAGTGGTTGACGAGATACCTTTGCTTAAAGTTTTAGTAAAAATTCAAACCAAATAGAAGCTGCGCCAAATTTGCTAGACACTCATCTAACCAAGTTTGATGGTTTTGTTTTTGAATTTTATAAATTCATAGAATCTAGATAAAAAATTTTTATCGAGTTTAGTTAGGTGGTTGTCGAGATATAGTTGCTCAAAGTTAAGAAAATTTGGTGCAGCTTCTATTTTGATATTGAACCTAGCCGTCAACAAAATTGTCACGGCAGATTCTCGATTTTGACTGGCCAAGAACGACAATCAAAAATTTAGGCCGAAATTATTCAAAAGTTTACTAATGAAATCACAGCCACCCGTTAAGTGAAAAATGTTCTTGGGCAAATTTTATTATCGTGCAGGCCTATTTCTCTAAAATTTTTTAGTTTTGGAATGAAAAAGTTAAGAATTTAATTCTGGCCAAAATTTACGCACAATTATGTAACGCAGGCCAAAATTTGTAGATCACGGCTGTTAGCCAATCAAAATTGAGAATCTGCCGTGACAATTTCGTAGGTTCAGCTATTTAGATAGACGTGAGTACTTTGAGCGAAGATATCTTGACAACTACTTGTCAAATTTCGATGAATTTTTTTTATTTTGATTCTATAAATTTATAGAATTCAAATAAATAAACTATTAAATTTAGTCAGGTGACGTCGAAATATCTTTGCTCAAAGTTTTAGAAAAATTTGGCACAGCTTCTATTTCAATAGATGTTTTGCAAAGATATCTTGACGCCAACCTGACCAAATTCAATAAACTTTTTTATTTGAATTATATGAATATTTTAGAATTCAAATAAAAAAAAAAATTCATCAAATTTGGTTGGGTTGGTGTAGAGATGTCTTTGCCCAAGTTTTAGGAAATTCAATGAAATTTTCTTTATTTTGATTCTATAAATAGAAATAATAGTCTTCATTAATTGATTGGTGCGATCTTAAATAATGCACAATTTAACAAGCTAAGAATTAAGTGAACAATAATTGTCAGGGATGATATAAACAAACAATTCTTTTACTTTTGTTTTAACATTTTCTTTGGTTAAATTATTATCAATAAGCATGTAAACAGATTTAAGCAATTAGCTATATGTATAAATTGGATATCAATTTTTTTTCAGAAATCAGAAATCGCAATTGTAATGGAACAATTTAAACTTGATACATTTGAGACTGGAATCTTCTTAGCTGGGATACTTGTTAGTTTGTTATTGTATTTTACTATTATCTGTTTCATTATACAAAAATCTGATTGCTCAAATAATTATGATGGTGAGAAAGAAAATTGTCAATTTTTAAAAAACTTTTTTTTGAGCTTAATTAATATTGTTGTGGCCTAAATGGCCACAAACACACACCCACAAAAACTAAAAAGAAGCGACAGATTGTCGCTAAAAAGTAGGTTATGCCGCATAACGTTACCCAACAGATTTAGAGGCGGACAGATTAGACCAGAGGTCTAAGGCAAGTGTCAAGTAGAGGTTACGAGTATGGAATTTCACAGGGAAAGATCAAGGAGCGTTTGTTATCTCTTAATGCGTTAGGTAGGTGCAGGCAAATTTGCCTGCAAAAAGTTATATAATATTTTTTAAAAAAAAATTATTATAAAATTTTATTTAATTTTTGATATAATCATTTTTTAGATTTATATTTGTTTTTAAATGGTAAATTATAATAAATAACTATATTTTTTATAAATTTATACAAAGTTAAAATTAATCTATTTTTATAAAATCAAAGAAAATAATTAAAGTTTTAAATTTAAACACTTTTTTGAATATATTTGATCCCCCAATTTATTATTAAAACTTTTATTTTAAGTTTATTAAAAATAAAAAAATTAATATTTTTCAAAAAAATTTGTTTAAAATTGGTCTAAAAGTATTATATCTATATATATTGAAATTATTATTATTATATTAAAAATCTTTAACATTGAATAACTTTTGATCCACTAATCCGTTTTGGATGATTTAACTATCAAAATGATCGTCTCAGTGATGCAATTCTAATAAATCCAAAATCTTTAAAATTTGATCACAGGACCCTAAGATCGATAAAGATTTGTAATAAAAATAAATCATTATTGATCTTTGAATTCTGTGATTGGATTTTAGCAATTTTAGATTCATTAGAATCTCCTTATTTAGACGACCATTTTGGTAATTAAATCATCCAAAACGGATCAGTGAATCAAAAGTTATTCACTGTTAAATATTTTTAATATTTTTGATATAATGTTATATGGGTGCCGCCAAGAGAAAACCAGGAATTCTAAAAATAGACTTCCATCCACAGCGAAGTTGCGGGGTTTTTTAATCGGTCAATGTAATAACATCGTGTTATTACATTGACCGATTAAAAAACCCCGCAACTTCGCTGTGGATGGAAGTCTATTTTTAGAATTCCTGGTTTTCTCTTGGCGTCACCCATATATAGGCGAAAATATAATCTTTAGTTAGTAAAAATTTTTAATATGACAAATTTTAAAATTAATACTTTGCCAAAGTAATGTATAAAGTTAACTGACTTAATTTAAATATGTTTTAGGGGGACCTCTCCTATCTACTTTTTTAGCAATTGTACAAAAATTAAATTTTGCAAGCAAATTTGCCTGCATGACATATTAAGAGATAACGACTTTTTTTTATTATTATTTATTAGTCACAAGGTACTTGGAATACTACGGAACTGATCTTCCTACCACTAGGGACAAAACCATCTCTATTTATAAGAATTTCGTACAGAAGAAAGAAGAAGATCTCTAATATTAATCCACCTCTTTCCTTTCATTAAATGCAAGCCGTTATTCCCTTTTCGACTAACCCTTCCACAGCCTTCATCATTCAAGCCCTCAGATCAAGAGCAAGAACCCAGAACCGAAGGTGAGCGTTCACGCCAATTTTCATTATCCTTATCAAAGACATCAAGCCTTATTTCCCCTTTTAACTAACTTATTAACCCTTCTTACTTCACAGCCTTCATTCTTCCACGAGCATTTGGCGTCCAAATCGCTTCCAACAATCGTTATCAGCTGCGAAGAATCATGCGGAGCATGATTTAGCTTGTACACGGCCACAAGCTATTCCAAAAAAGGTAGTATTAACTCATTGACTTATTTTAGCCTTCTATTATGTCAATCGGGTTAATGTCAATCACTACTACCAATTCGGGCTCACCACGATAATTGGTCATGGGGCTTAGCAACGACAATGACGATCCTATGCGGTATCGATTTAGGGGCTTGGCGCTTATCCAATTCGGGTAGTTCTTGGAGTCGTGGGGTGGCAGTTTTGCCGCTAACAATATAAAATTTCTAGTAACATTTTCACTTTACAAAATTAAATTGTCTTAGTAAAAATCTCACAATTAGTCTAGCACTATAGATGTGAACTGTGAATTATAGTACACATAAATAAACTGTAGTTTATTTATATTAACTACTAGTTTATGGATCGCACCTCTACCTAACACAAACAAGATCCTATTTTAGTAGGCTATGGTGCCGAAGGTGCTTTTAAGTTGTTACAAAACTTAAGTCAATGAAATCCTTAAATTTTAGAGGAAAACTTCAACATAAGTATTAATACCACTAAGATATTGATGTAGTTAGAATAGGTATAACAAAGAAAACACTACTGGAAGAGTTAAAAGGAAAGAATTTATCCCAAGCTTTTTTTATAAATTCAGAAATTATACAATATAATTTTTTATTCTTAATTTTAATTAGACACCATATATTTTTTATTGTTACAAATTATTCGAGCGTAAATTGTGAATATCATCTTTATTCTATTTTTTTATGAATTTAAATGAAGCTAATAAATTTAATTTCGTTTATTTAAACATTATTTCTATGTTATCATAATAGTGTATTTAAAATTCAAAAACTATCAATTAATATTTTATATTCTTGGCTTTTTATTTTTTAAAATGAAAATTTATTGTGATCAATTCAATAATTAAATAAATACAAACTTCAATCTTAAGTTTATGAATTGAAATCAATTATTTATATACGGGACTCATCAAAAAAGAATGGGTCAAAAAATGATTTTAATATTCTTGAAGAATCAGATTGATTAGATCAATATTAAAATTGAAAAATCTAATTTTATATGAAATATATAAATTATGTCCCAATACCCAAAATATGAAATATATAAATCACGTATTATAGATTATCCTGAATAATCAAATAAGTGTTTTCCATTAAACCTGAAAATGCAGACTTATCGTACAATTAGAAATGGAAAAGATAATGTTACATTAAATTACAAAAATAGTTTTCTTGTAGATACAAATAATTTTTTTTGTTGATATGAATAATCTCTTTGGTATTCTATTGCTAGAAAATGTTAGATCACAATTAAGCGCGTGATATTTCATATTTAAATTTATATATTTTTCCTCTAATTCCTTTATCTTATTATTTTTTTCATTAAGCTCATTCACAAGTATCACGAAGTCTAATATTTAAATGGAATCTAAATTTTACAGTAGTTATTTATAACAGGACTATTTTGTTTAAAATATATTTACTTTTTAACAAGTGTTGCTACTTTTTCCTTTTCTTCTACAAGAAATAAACATGGATAACAAAAGTTAGTTAACGAATAATATAATAGTGGTGAAATAATTTAACCACTTTAATTTTAGTTCACCAACATCTTTAATCCTTAGTGCTTTCTTAAAATTCTTTTAATCATCATTATCATATAGAATTCTTTTTTGCAATCATCAAAGCTATTTTTAAATATTTTTTAATAATAAAACCTAATCCTGCCATCTACATTTTTACCAAAGGTGAACTTTTTGTCATTCTCTTTGGTGTAAAGCTTATTATTCATATTCGTGTACTAAATCAATATAAATAAATAAGATATTATGCAATGATAACATAATACGTTGATTAATAATTTTCTTATACTTTCACGATATCTGATACTGATGTGAAGACAAATTATTATAATTCTTTTTGAATTAATTTTCGTAAAGTTCATCTTTCAAAACATTTGTGGAATAATATAATGAAAAATCCTTCGTCTCCTAATGCTCAAAAAAAATAAAGTATGCCCTTTTGTATACAGTAAGACCTCATAAGTGCACGCTCTATAAGTGCACACACTATGTAAATTCTTTCCAAATGCATCATATAGCTTGGCCTCAACTTATAGGAGCATTATATTTTGCTCTCTATAAATGCACTCTCTCTTTAAGTGCACGGTTTGCCTTTTTTTGACTATGGTTCCGAGGGTAGAGATATGAACTGTGAATTACAGTACATATAAATAAACTGTAGTATATATAAATAAACTGTAGTTTATTTATATTAACTACTAGTTTACAGATCGCACCTCTACCCGAGGGAGTGTACTTAGGGATGTCTTACTAGATTATGATTAAAAGAATATAATACTGTGGTAGATTTAAATAAAAAAGCCATGAGGCTTTTTAATATCTCACTTAACTGACTAACCATGTGACTTATTTCAGCATCGATGGATGCTGAAATACTATGATGTGTATTTGATCTGGCTTTAGAGTTAGCTTTCATTTAGTAGGAATGGCATGTGATTTAAATCATGGTGATATAAACCACTGATTTTTATTTTAAATCAATTTAAAGCAAATTTTAATCTTTTATTATTACGCTTTGCAAAAGATGTTATGTTGCATCAGAGATTCTGTGGATTTAATAATCGCATTCAAAGTCAGAATTTAAATATAAATAATTTAGTTTGATCAGATTGTTAAATTATAGATGAATATTTATTTTAATGTATTAGCTAGCATGACTTAAATTTATAAATACAATCGAAATGTGAAATATTAATTTTCTATTTCTCTTTTGAAGAGAGCTAGTTATTATAAACAAATATATGCAACAAATGTAAAAAACATGATCATCTATCGTAAATTTGGACTCAACGATTACTGGGTAGTGCTTGAACTTTGATTTGAGTTGACTCGATCTGACTTGAGTAAGCAGTCTACTTGAGTTAAGATTTTTTAACTTGAGTAATGTATTACTTATATTCAAATCCAGCTAACTCATATATTTCAAGTGCTGTTTAGTTTTTACATAAAATTTGCATAATTCTTCGTTCCTTCGTTCCAATGTTCTATTTTGATCTATCATTTAAAGATAGTTTAACATGTTTAAGATGAATTTGTAGAAATCGATGCATTTCATTAATAATACTAATAAAACAAGTTTGAAAGATTTCAGCATAGAGATGCGAACTACGAAATATAATGTATTCAAAAACTACAATTAACTATACTATGGTTTTAAATTACAATTTGAGTGCTCACGAGTAAAAAAATCCAAAACCATATGAGTGCGTGAGAGTGAAAACCTAAAAACTGATCATAGTAAATAATTAAATTAGTTTTCAGGTTTTCACTCTCACGCACTCATATCAATATCGGCACTGAAAATTGGTTCTCATTTAAAATGGCTTGGGAAAAGCTGTTGCGCAATAATTTGTCCAAACCTTAACGACTTTTAAAACTTTTATCAATCTTATAGGTGACAATATCACGTACGTGGCAATTACAGGGGTGAACAATTTTTGTGGGAGCAAATATCAAATTTATTTTTGTGTGTTATACAGCTCCAAAAAAAATTGAGTGAGACGATAGTTTAAAGGTGTGTAATTATAGATGTGAACTATGCATATAAAATTTATATGTATTGTAATTCAAAGTTCACACTAGAGATGTGAATTGTGAATTACAGTACATATAAATAAACTGTAGTACAAAAATTTAACAAAATATAATTAAAAAACTAACAGAACAGACGAAAAAATAATTGATATTCAAATTAACAGAGATCCAATACCAATAATGATTCATAATGATGCTCCTAACATTCTTAAAGAAATTTTTAAAAAAATATTTAACACGTGGATTGATTTTCGATTTTTTTGCCGGTGTCAAGTTCGTTACCAGAAGCTATTGAAATTGAAGAGGATGAAGAGGAAGAAAATATCGAAAGTCAAATTAAAAATATTTGGGAAAAATTTTCTAACAATGAAGAAAATTATAATTATTCAAGGGTATTATACATCCTTTGCGAATTGGCACTTATATCATTTAAGGCAACAAAAATAATAAAGGAGCTAAAGAAATCTAATCAATTCTTTGTGCCCAGCCATATTATGGTGATCGATCAAGATACTAGTAAAGAGAGACAAGAAGTAAACCCAGAAGCAAATAAATGGAATCGTGAATTTGCCAAGGGTGAAAGGGTTGCAAATCGCGTAAATAAAATATTAGTAGAATCAGCCACAATTTACTATAAAGGTAAACCAGCAATAATCAAAAATGAAATGGTAGCTGCCAGACGTTCAGTAATTGACCAATTATATTTTTTTATATTTTTTTACAAAATGGATAATTGATAAACATCGTGATCTGACCAATCATAATTTTTTGTATTTTACAAAAATGGATAATTGATAAACAAAATTGCGTTATTAACCAATCATATTTTTTTACAAATACGGATAATCATATTAATGATATAGTTATGATTTTATTTTAAAATCTAATTTCTTTGCCCAATTCAATTTATCAATAATATTTAAATCAATACAGTACTTCTAAGTCAATAGACAATTTATTAGGAATTTTATTATTACATAGTATTCTTTCGATAAATTAGATATCAACATAATTGCCTAATCCAAATAGGTTGATATTAACGAGGGTAACCTGTATTACCAATGAATATATTCAAAGCTTTCAATTATTAGAACAACATGGCCTTCATTTTTTTATAAGAGACAATGTTTTTAATATTCATACACGATGTAATTGCCAAATTTATGAATTCTCGTACAAGGCTTGTTTATGTTATTTTGTGATATGCGTGTGAACTTTGTGTAATGGTAGCATCTATTGAAACACATATTATATTTTATGAAAAAGAAAAGAAAAAGAGGTTATTTTAAGGTACGCAAATGTAGCACGAATATATGTAATGGTAGCATCTATTGAAAAAGAAAAGAAAAAGAGGTTATTTTAAGGTACGCAAATGTAGCACGAATATATCAAGCAATTTATATGTATCTTTAGGAGGTTAATATCTTTATTTTGACATTAAAAATGTCATCGGAACCAGTATTGTTGACAGCCGTACGCAACTTGCAAAATCCTATACCTCAATATGTATTAGGAACATTGCCAGCTATAGCAATATTGGGAACAACACCACATAGTGGTTTGTGCGCGAAGCTATTATGGTTTGCGCGATGTCTTGGTTGTCCATTCACTGGAATGTTTTATTTTTGCAATATTGGAAATCTTCCATCAGAAATGTGTGCATACTGGCTATCTGCAGAATATTTTGATTTTCAGGGAAATCGAATCTATTACCTGACATCATGCTATGCAATTAAATCCTACTGTGGATCAGATAGCAATTATAAATAACTGGGTCGCAGAAGCATCTTTGTTAGATAGATTATCATCGCTTGTATCTCTATATTATATATTTGTTGGTATATTTGCAGGAATATCTAAAGCAGCAGGACCATGTATAGAGGATAAATCATTACAAGATTGGCCATATTTACCGTTATGTTAGGATAAGAAATGGAAGAGTAGTAGACAGAGTGTTACGAGGACATTTACATAATCCACAAGATACAGGTCAAATAGTTCCGATACCTGTTACAGCTTTCCAACCACAAGATCTTCATAACAAAAAGGCCCATGTAGCAATTACAGCATTAGCTTCAGTTACTCTACCTTGGCTAGCAGTAATTGTAGCATATTATACTCGTCCGATTGGATTTTTCTGTCAGAGCAAATTTCTCACAGTTATTTGTTCTTTGTGGCATTCAACAACATTATTGCTTATATATCACATGTAAAAGGTGAAGAAAATATATATGCTTCTTTCATTCAATTTATGCATACCTGGTTTTGCATTTGTGGTTTAATAATGGTGATACTTTTAGTGGCGCTAAGTTTATTAGCAAACACTAATTCATGGTGGGTAGGCTTATTTGGTCCTTCTTGCTATGTTCCACTTTCTTGTAATTAGATTAATAATTTATTTGGATCCAGCATATTATTATTGGTTATCGCGGCTGATGCTATAAATTGAATCTATTTGAATTTTGAATTTTTAAGGTGATACTTTAGTAATTTAGTTAGGATTCAGGGCTAGATTTGATAACAATAATAGAGTATATGCATGTTTTAGTATGGTCTATATTTCCAATTTTCAGCATTAGCAGGCATTGATTAGTTTGAAGTTAATACTAAGTATAGCAATTAATTTAGTATTGGTAATCGTTTTAAATTTAAGACAAGAGGTTCAAATTTTTATTAACATAAGATATTAGAAAGCTTTATTTCTTTAACCCAAATTTATGTATGCGTAATAAACTTTAAGTTTTGGCCAAAAATGTGCAAAATTGGTTTTTCTACCTTTTGTGAGTAAATTCTTGAAACAAAGAAAATGAACCCACACTGCACAAGATTAATCATTAATGCCAAAATAAAGCATTCTCGAACAAAATTTATTTATTTGGTCCAGTTAGTATAACTAAACTCAATTAAAATTCAATAGCTCTAGCATGAATTAACATTTGACTCTACATTTCAAATAATTGAAATATATTTATCAAATAATTAGACGATAAGTAATTTAAATAAAATTCATTTGGTATTTATAACACTTCATCATTAGCTGTAAAGACAAAGTATTTAAATATATAAATTAATATTCTTATTATATACTCTCATAGGTTAGAAATTAAAATTATTAAATACACACGTGAAGTATTTTTATAATTGGCATCAGACATTGAAAAATTGCACACATTAGAATCTAAAGAATTAAAAAGTAATTAAAACTTTTATCGATTAATTTAAAGATATAAGAGATGTAAATATTCACCGCAAACTTTTAGCAATTCCGCAGATGAAGAATTAATTGGCTTAGAATATGGTTGTTTAGTTAACACTTCAGGCGCAACATAAGGTAAGACGCCGTAAATGCAGTTTTCTAAATCAGATTCATCCTTCTTTCTAGATAATCCTAGATCCGCAATATAAGAAATCAGATCACTATTAACATATTGATTTTGCAATATATTACCGCTGTGAAAATCTCCATGAACATATTCATCTTTGTGCATATTTATTAAATTTGAAGATATGTCGACAAGCTGCTTTAATTTACTTTTCCAATGAAGATCTCTAAAATTTAAAGATAAGGAATTACGAAGACTGCCTCTATTTGCATATTGAAATACCATCAAATATTCATTATTAGTCGTGTCTTGAGTTAGTCCATACACTTCAAGATTATTGCCCACTAATCTAAATTTTGTGTAATTTTTAAACTGATTAAATAAACAAAATTTATAATGTAAATAGTTGATCTATATTAGTTAAGTATATGTTATTATCCACGTAAGCGGATAATAACTGTTTTATTCCCAGGTTCTTATTATACTTCTATACAAAAAAATTATACATTAACACACCTTGACCTATGTTCAAATTATATTGACTATAACGGTGGCAATGCGATTCTAAACGCACTAAGTAAAAATACTGTGCTAACACATCTAAACCTCTCGAATAACATGCTCGACAAGTGTATTGCGTCGCTCTGGCTCATATGCTTCGCACAAACAAAACTCTCCTCTTATTAAATTTAAACGACAACCAACTTGACGAAGACGGATCTTTGATCGCCACTGCATTGAGCGAAAACAAAAGCTTACAATTTCTAGGCCTTTCCCGAAACAACTTTTCATTTACAATAATCAAAATTTTCTTAGAGTACCTCCTTCTAAATACCACTGTTATCCAATTGGATCTTTCGAACATGCTTGAAGTCAACCAGATCATATTACTCAAAAAAGAAAAAAGATACTCCAATTCTCTCCCGAATTTCTTTTCAAAACTAATCAATTAGATATAACATCTTTCTACGTACACCGATATTTTCAATATCGATGACGTGAGCTTAATAATGTAAATCATTGTTTTTTCTATTTTTCAGAATAAAACTAAAACTAAAATTTTATAAAAAATTGATTTCTTGGGGACGTCTAAAGCTGTGTCCAGTCATGTGTTTTGATTTTTAATTAAAGTTAGGTAAGGGTTGGTTTGGGGTTAAGGTTAGTAGTAAAATTGCCCCCGACATTTTTTATTAATGCACCGTCTTGTATTTTTTTGCATTTTTCTGTTTTGGGTCAAAATAAACAATTTTATTGACTCTAATCACGTGATGGGTAAGGCTTGTGATTACGAAAATATCACTGGGTTCCTTGAAACTATAAAATTTTATTTGAAAATAAACTTACAAACTAATATTACGTTACCGATGAATTGCATTTTTTTTAAAGAACCGTGACTTAAAGTATAATACGAGCTTGTTTGTTTGAAGTATTTCTTGGTTCCGAAGATGGCATATTAACCAATAGGATTTTAGAAGTTCAAATGGTCTTTATGGTAAGATAAACCGCAAATATCCAGGTACCTTTCGTTCTGGCAAAGATTTATTTGATGCTAATTTACTTAGAACCAACGAATCTGTTAAAGCATTTTATTATTTTATGGGTGTGCTACACCTAAAGCTGCTCATTTTTTTATAAAAAAAATTAGCAGATATGAAGAAATTAAAAAGAGTATATACACAAAATATAGATAATCTTGAAGAACTAGTGGGATTACACGTAGATTGGCAATTTGAAAAAGTTAAAATAATAAGGCCCAAGTAGTTCAATAGCATGGAACTTTGGCAAAGTTACAATGTAACGTTTACACAAATATTTGTCCTTTTACACCACAATATTGTGATATTTTCAAGCAAGGTGAAGCGCCAAATTGCCCCAGATGTGAAGAGATAGGTAAATAAAGTAAATTAGATACAGTATATCTCTTGATAAAAGTAATCAAACAAATATTTTCGCGTCAAAGTGAATAAACCATTATAAGGCCATGCAAACTTAATAAATTGATTCTCATAACCCGGCCGGGTCAAAATCTGCAGAACTTTGAAAAAAAATTTTGACTTGGGTTGTTTTTTTCAGAAATCTGTAAAAAACTTTATATGTTTTTTATATATAAAATTTTTTGAAAATAAAATTAAAAGCCGCCGGGTTGCCGGGTCATTTTTTAAAATTTTATGTTATAAGAAACAAAAAATTAGCTTTGTATGGCCTAACTTTCGTCAATTTTTGCTCTAAACTTAGGTTTTTTTTTCTAATCAATATTAATTAATTATTACTTTAATAAGAAAACGCTAGGACTAAACAAAGAAAACGACATATACTATTGGACAACTAAAACCGACAATAGTTCTTT